AATCTGGTTCGGTCACAGCTTTTGCTTTGGGTGTTCAGAGAGCAGCTCACAGGCCGGCGACACAGGCTTTGGGAAAATGTTCTTCTGGGCGAGTTGTAGGGATGGATGCAGGGAGTTCAGGTACAGGTAGGCCCGTTGCACTGCCCTGGAGAAGTTCAGGAGACAAGGAGCGCTGGGAAGGGTGAGAAGAGGATCTAGTTAGCACAGGAACATGAGGCTCCAGGGAGCGGAAGGGTCTGGCTCCCAAAGGCGAGGAGAGGAATCCATTTGGGTGGAGCCCAGAGCCCAGGTGTTTGTTTCCTTCCTTCCCCACCTACAGCCTGCCCCTGGCATTGCTGACTCCCACTCGAAGGTTACCGAAGCCTGTGGGGACCTCAGCTCAAGGACAGGTGGGCTAAAGAGGAGAAGGGCAGGGTGAAGGAAGATGATGGAGACTCAGAACAGGGCCTCCAGCTTTCACTCCACCAACTGGAGGGCCATCAGACTTGTCCCCAGTCTGCCTCAGGCACATCGCTCATCTACATGTGCAGTTTATCAGTCCAGCCTGCACCCATGCCTCCGAAACTGCGAGAAAACCTGATCAGCCTCCCCCTCCACTACTTAACCTTCCCTTCTCCCGGGAGCTTACAGATGCAACGCCTCCTTCCTCTCTGTGAGTAGATTCGGGGGACCTTGGCACAGCAGGGGCCTGAGATGTGGCTGAAACCTTCACCCTATAGAGGAGGACGCTGGTGTTCTGAAGGTTAGGAGACTTTCACGGTCACACACCTACGTGATGGCACAGCCTGGCTGGAACACAGTATCTTAATGGACTCCATATGCCGGGTGAGAGTGCTTGTCCTGCAATCCCCGAGGAAGGTGGCCATTCTCACAGTGTCCTGCAGGGAACACACTTCGAAGTCTGGAATCAAATCCAGACTCTAATCGATGAATGATCTTAGACAAGCAGCTGAACCTCACAGAAACTCAGCCTCATCACAAATAAATTAGCATAATAATCTTCATAGGTTTCCTTGAGGAGTAAATAGAGTATCTAACATAGGTCGAGCGTGCCCCCAACACGAGGTACTCCATGCTACTTACTACCATCATTCATTACGTTGTGGTTCAGTCATTGAACTTCAGATTGCTAGAGAAAGCTGGAGAGTTCAGGAACCGGAGGAAAGAGGACTCTTCTGATGAGGAGAAGGCCAAGGTTGGTTAGCTTCACGTCTTTGGTAATTCTGAGGCCCGCCAGACTTAAGGTCCCATGGGGGAGGTGGATCCAAGCCAGAGGAGAACAGAGAGCTCTGACCTCTAAGTTCCTCTTGGCTGTTTCATCATGTTCTTTCTCAAGCATCTGACCTTGGAACACTGGGGACTCGGGGTCAGTAGGAAGAGCCCCGAAAGTGACAGGCACAGCACTGCAGAGCTGTCCTTGGGAAGGAAGCAGAACTCCTGGGACCTCAGCATCCTCACTGGGAATGACAAGGGTCTAATAATCCCCATACAATGACACCAAACTTCAAAAAATATGAGAGATGAGCAGAAGAAAATTAACCCTGAAAATTATTCAATATCAAATGACAGCAACTGATTCTTTGTCAACAGTCAGAGAGCTAACAAATCTACAGCAGCTGCTGAAAGATGGTCTCGGCCCCACTGACAGGCTTTACAGTGGAATTCCAGCTGCTGCCCTATTGACCAAGATACACTCACATGTTTTTAAAATTACTGTTTTAAATTTAGCTACCCAAAATGCAAAAGTAACTTTCTTATGGATATTTTTTAAAAGAAGATTGGGAAAAAAAAAAAAAAAGGCTTGGAAAGGGGAAAAAAACCCTCAAATTTTAAGGATCAAAGTCAATTACTTAAAAATCTGAGTGTTTGATTAGAGAAAGATAACCTGACTTCACCCTAAAAGTTATGAGTTCAACATTTAACCCTTTCAATAAGAAAAGATTGGAAAGGGAACACGTCTAATATTTAGCTTTTCTCAAGGTATAACCCACACCTGGAATCATTAAAGATCAAAAATGAGGAAGCGCTTTGTACAATATATGAGGGCTCAGTAAACCAGAGTCGGACACGACTGACGTGATGTAGCAGTAGTTGAGTCTAATCCTGCTCCTGTGAACAAAGAGCATAAGTGTGCGTGTGTGTGTGTGAGAGAGAAAGAATCTGAGGACTGCATTTGGGGCTCTCCTGATGTCTTACCTCCCTCTACTGGAGAAAGACCACATGTGTGTGTGTGGTGTGTGCATGAAGGGGCTAGAGGTGGGGGTGGGAGCGTGGGAAGGTGGGGGCAGGCCTGGGGGAAGAGAGAGTGGAAAGCAGAAAGACTAAAATTTCTGTCTCAAGCCTGAAGTAAAGCTTCCGTATGATCTACCGCCAGCTTTTGATCAGGCCCCAGCACAGGCAGGAGCAGCAGACAGGCCAACTCTGACCTCACAAAGCGGAACTTCAATCTAAAAATCCTTATCAAACATTTTCTCTGCAGAATCTGCCAGTAAAGAGTTACCTCTGGTGTGGACTTAGCTATGAACTCATCTCCCAGTGGTCAGGGCCTGCCCTCTGAGACTACTTTATGATCTTAGGTTGCTGGAGAGTCAGGCATTGGAAGGGTGATAATTTTGAATTACCAGGGCCCTAGACTTGATTGGCACCAAATGACCCAGAGAGACTTTTAAGCAATAGAAACATGATCCAAACCAGTGAGCCTTAACCTGGGGTCTTCAGCTACTAAAGGCTCCTTTACTAGCGGCTCCTTTGAATGTAGTAAAAAAAAAAAGGTCTGAGATATTTAAGACTGTACTTCAAAAAAAAAAAAAAAAACCCACTATGTCTTCATTTGCCTACTCTAATACTACAAACACTTACTAGACTCCCAAGGTTTTTTTGCATTTAGCTAAAATTATGTCAATTCATTTTAGTTACATAGGTACTTTTTGACTCACCAGGTAATCCAATATTTTAAAAATGCAAACATAAATCAGAGTGGTTCCTTACATGATAGAAGTATTCCTCACTTCACCAAAATATTCTGTTTAAAAATTAGCCTTTTCATATGGATCTCACCTTAACCTTTTAATATACATTGAGTAACAGTAAATTTATAGTTGTGGGTGTACCAAATCCCTTGGGAATTGTATGCTCTGTTCTGACACAAATGTTTTAATCAACAGCTGTTCTGGGAAGCTGGCTAGCATCCTTTTCGAATGTCGAGAATTTTAATAAGGATAAAATCTAAATCTGAAACTATCCTGTCTCTGCATGAGTAGATGTACATCCTCCTCCTCCTCCATTTTTAATAGTGATTTTTAAAAAATTTTATACATACAAAAGTCTGTGCATAATTAAAGTGTACAATTTGAGTTTAGCGATATGTGTGTGTGTGTGCTAGGTCACCTCAGTCATGTCCAACCCTTTGTGCCCCTATGGACGATAGCCCACCAGGCTCCTCTGTCCATGGGATTCTCCAGGCAAGAATACTGGAGTGGGTTGCCATTTGCTTCTCCAGGGGATCTTCCCCACCCAGGGATCGAACCCACTTCTCTTACGTCCTCTGCGTAAGGGGTGGGGCCTTTACCACTAGAGCCACCTGGTGACTTTAAACGGTGATAACATGTTGTACTCAATTTTTTTTCACATAGGTCTCTATTGCATAAAGTCAGGTATAGCCATAGTTTGTAAAAACATGTACAAAGAGGATGAGGGGCATTGATGGAACAGACGTCATCTATCCCCTCCGCCCATTTCCCTGGGTAATTGAGATTTGTTTTGAAGCCATTTCCCAAGCAATTGGATTCTACATGAAGCGGCAGCGGTTGGTTCATGGTCAGCCCAGGAGATGTCAGATTGTTCTTTGTATCTCATTGATACATCAGCAAGTTGGAAACTGTACTGAGTAGTGGCTTTGGCATGTTCTACATCTGGCCAATGAGGACTGAAGTCAGGGTAAACCCTCCCTGTTTATATAGCAGTATCTCTTTTGCTAATAACCCTGCCTGCCAAAGGAGCTAGAGGCCATTTCTCAAGAGAAGAGGCTACATATGGTAGATCTAAGCTACTTACTTTTTCTCGGAGGAAAAAACCCTTGCAAATTTTTTAATATGTAGCCTTAAAAAACTCCTATCTGAAAAGCAAAGTTTTCCAGTAGCATTTATTAGGCAACTTGCTGTAATGTGTTTAGTAAAGGAAACAAGGAAGTGATGGTTCTTAATCAGAAAAGCACAGTAAGAGAAAGAATGTATACCATGTCCCGCATATTTCACAGAATGGCAGAGTTCTTGGTCTTTCCTGGGACTTCACAGTTTAATTCAACAGAATGATTGCTATGTAATTATAAAACCCTGCTGATTTATTTAGAATTCTCTTGAAATCTGGAGAAGGAAATGGCAACCCACTCCAGTACTCTTGCCTGGAGAATCCCAGGGACAGAGGGGCCTGGTGGGCTGCCGTCTATGGGGTCGCACAGAGTTGGACTGAAGCGACTTAGCAGCAGCAGCAGCTCTTGAAATCAGAGCTTGAGTTAAGCACCAGACACAAGGAGTCTATCTCAGAGATTATGCCAGAAGCAGGAGCACGTGATCTGAGAGTGAGACAGGAAGAGGGAGAGTCCAGGGAAGGGTGCGTTACCTGTCTTCCTCTCCACTCCTCTCTCTTTTGGGTCACTCTGCGGCCAATAGCCCTGTGACTGAGCTTGGAAGAGGAGCTTCCAGCCAAGTGATCGATGGCTGGAGCTGCAGCTCACAGCTTGCCTGCAGCCTCCCGACAGACCATGGGCCAGACCTGCCCAACTGAGCCACTCAGATTCCTGACATCCAGACACTCCACTGCTGTTACTGCTTGGTCGCTTCAGTCGTGTCTGGCTCTGTGTGACCCCATGGACTGTAGCCCGCCAGGCTCCCTTGTCCATGGGACTCTCCAGGCAAGAATACTGGAGTGGGTTGCCATGCCTTCCTCCAGGGGATCGTCCCAACCCAGGGATGGAACCCAGGTCTCCTCTGCATTACAGGTAGATTCTTTACCAACAGCCACCAGGGAAGCCCTCAGACACTTGGTGAGATGTTAAGTTTGTTGTTCTAAGCTGCTAAATTCTGGGTTAATTCGTACTGCGGCAACAGATAACTAACACTGTTCATATTAAGTAGAATATTAAGTGGTACTAAGATATCAAGTTTTCAAAGAATACTTGATGACATGAAAAAGTGATGAGGACACAATATTAGGTGGAAGCAGCAGGAAGCAGTACCATCTGCGTAGTGTGTTGCATAAACGTTGTTTTTGTCTTATTAGCACATGTCCATCCCTGCTTTCTTCCACTAACACAATTTCCCTTTCTCGTAGGAAAACAACTCCATCTGTTTCAAGTGGTGCTGACTCCAACCCATGTAGGCCAAAGAAGTGACTCAGACCAAATTTTAAGTTCCTCATTCGCTTGGCACATCATCAAAGATGGACTAATAAGAACAATTCCTGTACTTTTTCTTCCTTGAGTCATTAAGGCAGAAAAGGGCCTGAACGTTCAAAAAAAAGTTAAAGATGGTAAGGGTTATCATATGCCCTGGATTGAGTAGTTCTCCAAGTTAGAACCAACCTTAGAATTTTCGATTATGAAACAATAAACTTGGCTTAATTGTGATTGTGGTTCTGTTGTACTACACAATAGTATCTCAAATTTTTATAAAAATAAATAAAATTACTTGCAAACAGAGAAAATGGTAGAATCTACCAAATTAACAGTGGTTCTATCTAGATTTGTGGGCTTCAAATTAGTGAACTTGTTGCGCCAGAATTTTTAAAACACAGATTCTCAGCCTTCACATTGGGAAACTTTGACCCAGCAGCTCTAGATTAGAAACCAGAAATGTGGATTCTTTTTTTTTTTTTTTCCATTTATTTTTATTAGTTGGAGGCTAATTACTTTACATCATTACAGTAGTTTTTGTCATACATTGAAATGAATTAGCCATGGATTTACATGTATTCCCCATCCCGGTCCCCCCTCCCACCTCCCTCTCCACCCGATCCCTCTGGGTCTTCCCAGTGCACCAGGCCCGAGCACTTGTCTCATGCACCCAACCTGGGCTGGTGATCTGTTTCACCCTAGATAATATACATGTTTCAATGCTGTTCTCTTGAAACATCCCACCCTCTCCTTCTCCCAGAGAGAAATGTGGATTCTTAACAAGCTCTCCATAATGATCAACAAACAGCAGTGGAAAGAAGCGAATCTACAGGAGTAGATTATAAATGAATATTTTTTTTCTCTACATGCATCTTTCAGTTTTATAATGAACAAGTACTATTTGGGTAATGAGTATATTTCTTAAAAGGACAACTGTTAGTAACTTGATAATGTTTAATATTTATTATTTATTTTTATATATTTGGCTGTGCCAGGCCTTAGTTGAGATATGTGGGATCTAGTTCCCCAATCAGGGATGGAACCTGGACCCCTGCATTGTGAGCTCAGAGTCTTAGTCACTTGACCACCAGGGAAGTTCCAAAGTTTAATATTTGACATGAAACTTTTTATTGTGAGGAATCAAAAACCCCATTGGTTAGTAGGTCAGCAAAAAATAAAATACTCAAACATTATTTACTATGATAGTAAGCATTTTCTTAACTCTGATAAAGAATATGGTCCAACTATTGGGGCAAAGTACACAGCAGATGGGAGGAGAACCTAGCTCCCCAGGGCTTTTCTTATCACTAAAGAATCAGTGAGGGTCACACCAGTTCAGAGGAATCTTGAATTTTCTCACCTGCAGTCTTCTATTTCCCACTAATGCCAGAAACACATCATTAATATTTTCAACTCCAGACCCTTCCCTACAAGACAAAGAAACTTCCACATGACTATTACACAGACTTACTATCCTTCCTGGTCAGATTTCATCTCTTTAAGAACCCACAAGAGTTCTACTGGTACCCAAGGGGTTTCTTGCTAAGGGCTGTCCAACACCATCTCCACCATGTTTAAATCTGTGCTTTGTCTACATGTTGATTTTAAAAATTGAAAACAGGGAAGGGAATTCTCAGATGGTACAGTAGTTAGGACTCCACACTTTCACTGCCAAGGGCTCAGGTCAGAGAACTAAGATCCCACAAGCTGCGCAAAAAAAATAAAATTAAAAATAAGGAACACTGATATTGTTAGTCTATGTAATATTGATCACTACAGGGCCAACGTCCTGGGATTCCATTTCCTTCTCCCATTTCCAAATGATTCCAAAGTTCAGATCTAATGGATCCTCCCTTCTTACAGGCTATTCATTCTTCAAGATCATCAGCATTTTTGTCTGTTTGTTTACTTCATATTTGGACCTTGGCTTCAGGATGTGGATTTTTTTTTCCCCAGAGAGTTTCTAAATACTCTTCATTTTTTCTGAGTTTCATCTCCCCCCTCATAGCCTACATACTCTGCCTACATGTATCTCATCTCCATTTCCTTGTAGAACATCTTCAAGCAACTTCTCCAGAAATAGTGCAGGAGAAGAAAAATGTCTGAGCCACTGAACATCTGAAAAGTCTTCAGTTTTGTTGACAATGATTCATATTTTGTCTGGCTATAACAGTACAGCTTTGAAATCATTTTACCACTAGTTTTTTTCCCAAACAGAAATTCTGAGTAAAAAACTCTGTATATATAGCAGAGTTTATCCATTAACAAGATTTTAGAAGGAATGATGCAAAACATAACTGAAAAGCACCAGTACACGTGCTGGGAGCCCCCAGTTTTCCTTGCATGTTCAAGTTCTTTAGGGAAAAAACCTCCCAACTTTTATTCAGGAGGTAAATTCCAGCCACCTGCTCTCAAATGGAGACATAAGAGGGAGTAAGAAGACAGTGGGCACAGGCTTTTATAGGCAGACTCTTAGTAAACACTGTAACTTCAGCACCCCTTCTCTACCTACCAACAAGATCACAACTTGAGGAGGTTGCCATGACAGAAGACTCACTATATCACTGCATTTTCGCACCTTGGGTTGCAAATTCTTCCTCTCTTATCTTCCCAACTTGCAAAAGTAATTGACACATCTCATCTGTTGATACCTCCATCCTATTATCTTCACTTTGATTTGAATTTTTATTATTTGTTGGCTCTTAGTTTAATGAAGCAACGAGAAGAGACAAACACATATCCTCAGTTTGCCATCCTAAATAAGAAGCTGTCTTTTTAGGAAGAACTTTTAAGGTTGGCAAGAAATGGAGCAGCTACCAAAAAGCCTCTAATGACATCTTTTCATCAAGGGCAAAACTCTCATGATTTAGAGCAAAGGTGAGGAAACCTCTTTAGGATGAAGATGGAGAAGACCAGGGATTAGCTCATATCTAGGCTCAGAAATAACCATTCTGAGTCCACAAGAGGTGTTAGATAGTTCCAGCCACCTTGACCTAAGAGCCTGGGGCCTCCAAATTTCAGCTTAGATGACCAACTAGCTATTACACTGACCTCTTTCACTCCTTTAAGAAGGAAGAGAGGAAGTTTAAGATATTTGAGGATTTTCTCTACAGTTTATAAATTATTTGTATCCTTAAAAAAGTATTATAAGCTTAAAATAGACTGTTATGATTTGAGTAAGCTTCATGGAAAATCACAAGGGAAAAAAGCTGTAGGAGGTACACAAAACATCAAGACAGGAATAAAAGCATACTACAAGAAAAAAAAAAAATCCTCAGATCACAAAGGAAGACAGCAAGAAGGTTAGAAAGGAACAGAAGAACTACCAAATAGTCAGAAAATAATTAATGAAATGGCAACACTAACCCCTTGCTGCTGCTGCTGCTGCTGCTGCTAAGTCGCTTCAGTCGTGTCCGACTCTGCGTGACCCCATAGACGGCAGCCCACCAGGCTCCGCTGTCCCTGGGATTCTCCAGGCAAGAACACTGGAGTGGGTTGCCATTTCCTTCTTCAGTGCAGGAAAGTGAAAAGTGAAAGTGAAGTCGCTCAGTTGTGTCTGACTCTTAGCGACCCCATGGACCACAGCCTACCAGGCTCCTCTGTCCATGGGATTTTCCAAGCAAGAATACTGGAGTGGGGTGCCATTGCCTTCTCCAAAGGTACAAAACATCTTGGATATTAAGAGCCCACCATACTCCAGTATATGCTGATATGCTCAGTTGTGGCCAAC